AAGATAAAGTGTGAGAAAATACAGATTTTTAAACAAATTAATACATATACATGTAACATTTAAGTGTGCTAAAATATAGGTTTATGTACACTTAACACACACAAAGATGTAACATCAAAGTGTATGATAAAATTAAGTTTCCTGTGCGTTTAACACACATATACATGTAATATTAAAGCATGAGAAAATACAGTTAACGCACATATAAATGAAATATTAAAGTGTGAAAAAATACACTTAACACACACACATATATGAAATATTAAAGCGTGAGAAAAGACAGTTTTTGTGCATTTAACACAAATATACGATAAAGTTTAAAGTGTAAGAAAAGCCAGTTTTTTAATCCCTTCTATACGTTTATGACTATGAAATTAAAAGCTTTGCCACAAACATATTAACTTGGAATCAAAATGATTCTTTCGCTTTATAAATTTTGCTGTAAGGATTTTTAATCTGTGTAGTTGCATGTAATAAGCACAAATCTTCACTGACAAATGTTTTGCAAAAAAAAATAATATAAATACTTTAGAAAGCTAGCGTATTAGTGTATAACATCTGTATATAAAGTATGATGAGATAACATAATACTACAAGGGCATATTTCCATTACATGTCCAACAACTGGCCTAACGGGTTCTTTAGCATAATATCATGAAGACATGATGGAAATTTTTAAAAAAATCGAGCGTTATTGAACAGTTTCTTGCATTGTTTCTGATAGAGAATTGAAATATTCCGATTCAAAATTCAACCAGAGATAGAGGTGTCGCTGTTTGTAAAAGATAAAGGCGCTTTGCACAGATATAGTGAAAAAACCTCTTAATGGGTTTAATTTAATCCTTACGTTACTGTGTCGTTTGATTAGATTGTTGAAAACGTCTGACGAGTAAACGATTAAAATCCATTAAGGAGCTAGGTACCAAATAGGTTAGCAAAAATATGTTTTACATAAAGACATTTTCAGTGATGAATTGATATTGTTTCAATATGCTGTTTGATATTTTAAAAGATGGAAGTGAATTTAGGATTTTACGTCATAAATTTGTTTCTAGTTTTGCGTTTACAGTTACAACCATTTTCGATCGATACTTCCATGTACAAGGCTACTCATTCGCGTCGTGATCTGCTGTGTTCCATCTCCATCATAAAATAGGCGTTGTTCGTATCGTCTTTAAAATTTACTCCTGTGAGCAAAAGAAACATGTGCAATTATCGCTCGTCATTCGTCCATTTTTTTTACGAAAGAACTAAAATAGTTTCGTAAATTTAAAGGAGCCTTTCGTGCAAGATTAAGTTAATATTCAAGGTAATATAGATATACACTGGCTTTACTGCACGTTTTATTGAAGTATTGCAACATAAACAAGCGGTTAAAGACGTCAATAAAGAGCTTGATAAAGGTCTTTCAACTGTATCGTTTCTAAAATAAGACGGTGTTCTAACAAAATGGGGGTCATGGTGGTATGCTTCAAAACGTAAGAGTTGCATGATATGACACATACATCAGTAATATATATATAAAAGTCAGAGTTGCTATTTAATTGAAATTCACAAGAAAATGAAGAGATATTAAACTTATTTCAGTTACAAGCATGTTACAAAACAAAAACCTGTCACACGTGAGCGACTTTTTGATAAACAAGGGCTGGATGTGGCATAATTATTAGGATGCTGGACTGTGAATCCAAGGATCCATGGTTCGTGTCCCTCTGACACAAAATGGCGCCTCGCACTTTGGAGTTGTATGTGACGGTCATATCCCACTATTTGATTACAGTAGCATAAGAGTTGGCGGTGGATGCTGTTGACTAGCTACCTTCTCTTTAGTTCATGTGTTCAAGAATAGGGATAAATAGCGCAGATAATTCTTGTGTAACTTTGAGCAAAAATTCCGAAATAAACAAATTTAATAATCGAAATTGATCATTGTGATATGATTTAGAGAAAAATGTCAATACTCCAAGATAGGATCAAATATCACCATAAAAATAAACATAAGGCACATAATAACATTAACAAGACTATTTGAAGATAGATAATAGAGCAGACAACTCAGACTTTATCAAGATATGCACACTTATTCAAGCTTCATATGAACACATACACACATACGTAACAAAGAAATTCACACATAGAAATTAAAACTATAAAGATCCTATAATACTATAGAAACGCCTAAACGCATAGTGATAAACTTACGTAAGTAAAGGAACAACATTCACTCTATAACATACCAAAATACCCACTCTACTTATATACAGCCACAGGAGACGCGGCTTGAGGCCTACCAAAAGAATAGATGGAAGAATTCCAAATAGAGTCAGAAGATTATGAAATGTAAACCCCCACTACAATACTACCCCAACAGAAAAAAAAATGCCATCAGGAACTTAAAGAAAGAGAACATCATAACAATTTAATAATGGCTGGAGACGGCTTAAATGGGTAATGAAGAAAAACTTTAATATAAGTTTAACATGACAAAA